GGTAGGAGAGGTAAGCGCGACGGCGAGAAGAGACAGGACCCAGGCGCGGGGGCAAACCTACCGGGGGGCCAGCATCAGAGAGGCCGGGGGCGTGAGATAAGTCCAGAGCGGGCATCGGGCCCACAGAAAGGGCGGAGGGGTTGGGCCCCCGAGGGGCAGGAACGGATGGAAGTAAGGTAGTGGACGAGCCAAGGAGGGGCGCCCCAAGTGGGGCCGGGGAAGGCAAGAAAAGCCTACCCGGCAACGGACAGGCAAGGGGCGAGTCCTGCAGTAAGGTAGGCAACCGTTAGAGAGGACCGGAGAGACGGATGCGCGGAGAGAGGGGCGCGCACCGGGTAGGCAGAAGACCCAGTCGGATGAGGAGGATTCGCATAGACGAGGCGTAACAACGGCGAAGGAGGTCGCCGCTTCTGTGGAGAAGCAGAGGCTGGGTGGAGGCGAAGGTGAATGGCAAAGTAGCGACGAGCGAAGTTACCTGTGGCACGAGTCGAACTAGAGGCAACGCGGCGGAGTCTTGGGAACGAGGTAGAAAATATGAATGGTAGGTAAGAGAGTCGGCCTGAGGCTGGAGGCTTACGTTTTCTGCTGTCGATGACTGCATTAGGTTATTTTCGTACTCTCTACTCGATTGCCGTGCGAGCGGCCCACCCGCCCTCCCACTAACAGCCAAATGGCTGATCGGAGTTGTCTTTGAAGGGTTTGGGTACCGCGGGAGTGTGGTCGCAGACGCAATGGCCTTCCCCACAATAAGTTAGTAGTGAGTACGGATCACGCGATGACGTTTAAGCAATGCGGAAAAGTTTTCCTCATACGCGGAACCTACATGTTTCGGAACTCTCAAAGGCAAATTTGGTATTAATATAACCTAATTAGTGGATGTTGCTGAATGATGCGTTGGATAACAAGAGGAAGCTAGAGTACCGTTTCTGTCAGTTACCGACATCAAATAGCTACCTTCCGTGACCGTACTCCGTGACCCGCAAGGAAAAACAGAGCCAGCAACGTACTTCGTAAAGCTAAAGAATATCCATGCAGCACGTTTATCGCTGGTAGGCGCAACTCACGAAACCGTGCATTTTTGGCGGCGCAGGCTGACGTGTGTAATGCGGAATTCATATGGACAACAGCTTCGACAACAACAGCAGAATTGAAATAATTTACATATAAATAGTTGTAATTCTCTTGCAGTTCATTTACGCTTCAGAGGAAAAGCTGCAGCCTCACCTAAACAGAAGAAAAGTCAACGTTTGTGCCCGTGAAGATGCATTGCCTGAATGGTGCCAACACCTTAAGGCATCCTACGACACAGAGGCCACCTGCAACATATCAGCTGGGGCTTCCTTCCGCTGTCCGCGCTGTTCGCACTGCCGCCTCCGCCACCGCGCCGGCGCCAGCGCCAGCGCCATCTTCCAGCCCGGCCCTCACAAACAAGGGAGCTGCCGTTGATTGGCATCTTTTAAAGCTTAAACATGTGGTCGACTCGGGCGATTTCAACCGCGCGGCTGTGGATGTTGTTTTTAAAGAGGCTTTGAAAATGGAGAAGGTTAGGCCTCGCAGCAAAGAGTCTCGAATTTTAGACGGCTATATCATGTCGACGCTTTTCTACGAGCCTTCCACACGAACGCGTCTGTCGTTTGAGTCCGCCATGAGTCGGCTGGGCGGCACCGTGCTCTCAACCGAGTCCGCGGGCGAGTACTCGTCCGCAGCTAAGGGCGAGACGCTGGAAGGTGAGCGCCAGATCCATCCTCCTCCATAGCCTCCTCCTCCTCGCCTCCCGGCTCTCCTCTGCTTAGTCGCTGGTTTGCATCGCCGTCACATATCCTGTTTTAGGCTTGCGCGTGGGTTTCGGACACCGAACAAGGAACCTCGGTCGCCTTCCACTCCGCTTTCCTCCGCTTTCTTCGGCCATTCCTTCCTCTATTAGCCACCGTCGTCCACCGCGCCCTTATTTCTTTCTCCCCTCTTGTTCGGCCCACTCCACCCATGATTCCCCCGATCCCTCCCACCACCCCGTATCTTGCATCATATGGTGGTCTTATGGGTTCAACTTTGAAATCCGGGAAACCGACTTAGACACCGTGCGTACCGTGGAGGGCTACGCGGATTGCATCGTCATTCGACATTTCCAGGAGGGCAGTGCCAAGAGGGCCGCCTCCGTGGCTTCCATACCCATCCTCAATGCGGGTGATGGCCCCGGGCAGCACCCGACGCAGGTAGGTGGGTTGGTTGTGTGTGTGGGGGGGGTTTGAGGGGTGGGTGGGGGACTAGATGGCGCGGTTCATAAGAGGTGAGGCTCCCCCGAGGAGGGTATTCCTCCCATATGGTTACACCCGCCTCCGAACATACATACATACGTACATACATACATACATACATACATACAACCGAACATACATACATACATACATACATACATACAACCCCCACACGCTACGGCCCCAACCCCTCCATCGCCATCAGGCCCTCTTGGACCTGTACACCATACAGCGGGAGATCGGACGTCTGGAGAGCATCAAAGTGGGCATGATTGGCGACCTGGCCAACGGCCGTACCGTCAGGTCGTTGTGCATGTTGCTGTCCATGTACAACGACATACAGATTTACTTTGTGGCGCCGGATGTCGTCCGGATGAGGGATGACGTCAAGGTGGGGGGGGGGCCTGGAATGTTAAGGAAAGGTTGTAGGGGGGAAGAGAAGAGGGCTGGCTTGGGTAAGCCAGGGTTTGGCTGGTGGTGCCGTATTGCGCGGTGTTGGGGAGGGGAGGGACGGGTTGGGAAGGGACGGGACTGGAAAGGAAAGGGTGGGTTCTTGGCATGTAGGGTAAGGAGGGGAGGGGGAGGCAGGGAGGGTGTTGAGCTGTTCGTGTGGGCTCCCACCCACCTTCCCGCCACACACGGATTAACCCCCTCGGCTTCATCCCCTTCCCTTGCATGTATCCCTTGTCCCCACAACCCACTTCGGTGCGTCTTCCTCCGAAATCCAAAACCACCCACTAACCTTCTCCTCTATAAACGTATGCACATATGTACGGATGAACACCATTTTCTCATTTCGTCCAGCGCCTTCATTTCCTCCTGTCCTCATCCTCCTTTTGCCTTCCGCTCCAACACCGCTCCAACACCGCTCTAACACCGCTCCAACACCGCTCTAACACCGCTCCAACACCGCTCCAACACCGCTCTAACACCGCTCCAACACCGCTCCAACACCGCTCTAACACCGCTCCAACACCGCTCTAACACCGCTCCAACACCGCTCCAACACCGCTCCAACACCGCTCCACACCGCTGCGCAGAACTACCTCACCGCGCGGGGTGTGCGGTGGACGGAGGTATCCGACCTGCGCGAGGTGACGGCGGATGCGGATGTCCTGTACCAGGTGAGCTTTTTCGGGGAGCGGGGGCTGGGAGTGAACAGGGATGGGCCGGTGGCGGGCGATAGGAGAGGGCGATCGGAGGGATGATGTATTCGGGTAACCCGCCTTGGCATCGTTCCCTCCTCGCCACCACAACATGCTGCTTGTGGCCTTGTGACTGTTGGCTCAATGTCCAATGCATCTGAAGAATCACCACCACCACCACCACCACTACCACCACCACCACCCTGAGCTTGCGCTCTAAAACAATGATGATAACGGTCCCAACTTCATGACATCATCTCTCTACCAGCCGTGTTGGGTTTCGCTTCATAGCAACCCATCTGCTAGTCGCACACTCATGAACATGTGTGAAAATGTGTTGTTGGTTGTCGGTTGCACCCCTCACGCAACCCCCTCCCCGCTCTCTTCCCCCCATCAGACCCGTATTCAGCGGGAGCGTTTTCAGAACCCAGACGATTACGCAGCTGCTCGCGGCAAGTACATCATCGACAGGGACCTGATGCGCATTCTGAAGCCCACTGCGGTGGTGATGCACCCGCTGCCGCGCGTGGATGAGGTGGGTCGGGGTGGCGGGGGGTGCTGGGTGGGGATGGAGTGGATTGGGATGGGGGCCGGAAGTGCGAACTGGTTTGAAACCCTTGGGTTCCCTCGCCTTCTTGGGGGAGGAAGGTGTGGGGAAGGAAGGCCGGCATGGGGTGGGGAACTGAGTGCATTAGGAGGGAGAGGGTGTGAGGGAGGAGGAATAGCCTGGGTCTGGAGATAGGGACGGGAAAGGACGGGACGAGGGAGGTTGGGGAAGGAGGGAGGGACTTTCGTCGATTCTTTAGGGTCCCTAAATAGGATTGCGGAATGCAAAACATGGGTGTGACTTCCGTCCGCGTCGCATCACGCACCACGCAACAGCTTAACAACAAGTCCCCCCCTGGGGCAGGTCTTAGCTGGGTGGCTAGGCTGCTGTTCCCCTCCATGTTCCCCTTACGAGTGCAACCCACCCGCCCTTCCACCCACCCAAGCACCCACCGACCAAAGAAAGCTTTCCAAAACGCTCAACCTGCACACCTTCGCTGCCGGATGCCCTATTTATCCCCTCTTACCCCATTCGCCTCCATTCGTCCCCGGGGCCAGATCACCACGGACGTGGACAGCGACCCGCGGGCCGCCTACTTCCGCCAGGCGCGTAACGGCCTGTACGTCAGGATGGCTCTTCTGAAGCTGTGCTTGGCGGATGGTTACCAGCCGGATATTGCTTTGTAATTGTGAAGGTGTTTTCGCATGGATTGGCTGGATGAATGGATGGGTGGGAGACGGGGAAATGGCGAGGAAGTCATCTTGTGTTTCGTATGCGGCGCGGCGAAGTTGGGTTTGGGTGGATGAGGGTTTTCTTTAGCAGTGATCTATCACCACTTTCATGTCGTGAGTGAAGACGGTGAGATGGGGACGTCTGTGGGAGGAATGAGGAGGGGAGTTTGGGCTTCCGGGCAGAGTTTGTGGTCTGGGGCTGGGGCTGGGACGGAAGGGACATAGGGGAACGGCGAGGAGGGGGAACTCGTGGCCGGGTGGTGTCGGAGGACGGCGGGTTGGAGGGTTGGGAGGTTTCCTTTGTTAGGGTTATGTTGGCTGGTAGCGGCGGTACGAGCCAGGCAGGCTTGGATGATTGGATCCTAGGATGGGTCGTGCAGCTGGGCGGGGTGGTACATCTTGGCGAGGTGGTGCTGTTTGACGGTGCCGGTGATGGGAGCTCGGGGGCGTAGCGGAGATGTCGATAGGCTGCACATGCAGATACATTTTCTTTTTTCTCTTTTTCAGCTGCTCGTTGGTTTTGTTGGTGGAGTGGAGCGCACAGCGGCCCTCGTGGATGAGATCCCCGACTTATGACCCATCCTGAAGCGTAAGGGAAGTGGAAGAGTTCCCTTCGGCGGCGGGGGCTGGGGGAGGAAGTCTGGCTTTCCTCCGGTCCTCTGCCCCCGACTCGGCCTGTGGTCAGGTTGGGTTGGGTTGGGTTCAGCTCGTGGCGCGCCTCGGTTATGCGGCGGTTCTTGTAGTGGTGATGGTGCTTTTATTGGAGATGGTGGCGGTGGTGGATCCTACATATTTTTTTCCTGCAGAGGTGTTAAGAGAGGAGTTTCCTCGCGGTGTCTTTTGTGGCGTCTCATGATGGTTGTGTTGCTCGTGTGTCTCCTGTTTTTGTGTGTCCGGTTGTTTCTAACCGAGATGCCGATATCGTCATCTTTCGTTGGGTGTGTGTTTCTCTGCTGTGGTTTTTTGTGTTACCTTCGTACGCGTGTGCTGGTGTAGTAAATTTGCGCGTGTTACCGTTTGCTGTCTCTGGTTGCACCTTTCTTTCTGGGGAGGAAATCGTATTTTTGCTGCATTGTGCATGCGCGCCTTGGCATGCCTATGCGCATTGTGGCGCACTTCTGTCAGGAGGAAGGTATATGGTTTGGCACACAAGTATTTTGGTGCTGCGCTGCTGATGTGTTTAGTAGGTTCTAATTGGGAAATAACTCTTATTTTGGTGGGATGGATTTTGTTAGACATGGAGCGTACTCTGTTTCGAACTCAACGCGGGTTGGCTCTTTAAAAAAGGATTCACGATTATCAAGACCGTTGGCAAGGCGAGTGCTAGGTGCTACATTTCTCCAAGCTCACGTTAGCTACGCATTTGTTACTGCAGGGCGCTACAGTCGCCTGTGTTCGGGAAGCAATCTATTGTAATGCTTGCAGGGCCCGGGCGTGGGCGAGTGTTGGCCTGAGGATAGCAAATTTGATTCCGAGTTAAATCACTTAGACACTTGTTCCTTGAACGGACGTCAGGTGCGTTGAAACCAGATCGGCCCTGCAATACTCAAAAGTCTCTGGTCAGTCGCAGCATGCGACGCCAACGCACCAAGCCACTTGAGCACGACTGTAGCGTGCAACACACATATATACACACGCCCACGTAGAGTTACAATTTCGCCATCCCCGGATCGCAAACGGTGCGCCGCCCGGACTCGTCAAACCGCCGCCAGATGCTCTGTAGCAGGCTGCACAGTCCGTCGCGTCCGCCAAACCCTTTAACCAACACTACATAACACGGGTCGGATGCCTACCCTAAGTTCAAGCATGACCTTATCTTCGGTTCTTTTCGTTGCCATTACGCTATGCCGGTGGTTTCAACGGTGCGCGGGCCCGATCCCCCTCTTAAATTCCATTCCCCCTTAGCATGTTCCTTGCAAACTATGTACTTAGTCACGCGACATTTGGCCACCATGTCGTCCGCGCAGCTACATCCCGACAGCACACGTAAGTTCTGCAGCACCTACGGCTCAATGTGTGTGACGGGGGCCGCTTCATTACACCTCTGCCTTTCCTCCGACTTCTCCCCAGTCTGCTCCCTCTATTCCAGGAGCTTTCCCCGGAGCACAGCATACCACAACACGCTCACACTCCCCTCTATCCCTTCCTGTCCCTCCCTCCTCCCTCTCTCGCTCTGGCACTCGTCCTCGCGTTCAGTTCACAGCCATCACATCGTCACACATTTCCTCCTTACCCTCATTCGTCCCTTTCCCCCCACCACCCTGGCTCCCTCATCGAAGCTCCACCTTAAGCACCTCCGCCACCTCCTTCCGCACCCGCTCCTGCAGCGCATTGATCTCCTCGTCTGTTAGCGACCGTTCCATGGACCGATACACAATTCGGTAGCAGTTAGACGTACGACCCGTCTTCTTGTTCGTAAACGTGTCAATACACGTCACTTCCTCCACCAGGTCGCCGCCAATGGAGCGCACCAGCTCGCACAGGTTGTTCTCGCTGAACTCCGGGGAAACCCAAAACGCCATATCCTTGTAACAAGCCGGGAACTTGGAATATGGCTTGAACCTCGCGGTCAGGTCGCCTGCCCCGAACTGCTTCAGGAAACGGTCGTCGTTGGACCAGAAGAGGCGGATGTCGGGCACGTCGAACAGCACCATTGCGAGGCGCTCCAGGCCCAGACCGAAAGCCCAGGCCTTGTGGCCGGGCTTGTAGTTATCGTCCAAGATGCGTTGCTCCATGACGCCGCAGCCTAGGACTTCCAGCCACTTGCCCTTGAAGAAGATTTCCAGCTCGAAGCTAGGATCCGTGAAGGGGAAATAGGCGTCAATCCATCGGCACTCAACGTCGCCAAAGAGGTGTTTCGCGAGGCCTTCCAAGGCAGCTTTGAGGTCCTGCTCCGCGAGCTGCGTGGGGGAGAGGCCTGCAGCCGTCCAATCGGCTTCGGAGAATACGCGCACGCCCTCCATTTGGTGGAAGACGGGATAGTGAGTGGCGTCGATGGAGTCGCGGCGGTAGACGTCACCGGTGACGAGGAAGGCCGCGTGGCCGGCGCGGAGCGTCTCAGCTTGGTGTGCGGAGGTGTGGCAGCGGAGGACGGTGCTGGCGTCGACGTAATACGTGTCGTTGGGGCTGCGGCTAATATGGTCAGCGGGGACCAGCACCTCGTCAAAGTTCGCGCGGGTGCTAACAATAGGGAACCGATCGTCGAATTTGACGAACAGACCCGGGTTGCGCGCCTCAAAGTAATCGTAAATGGCTTGCTTAATGATGCCGATGGGGTGGTCGGCCTGCCGGTGCAAGTCCGCGCCCATCTTTTCATAAATGTAATCCGTGATGTTGTTGTCGGGAGACCCCGTGATCACCTCCTCGCGACGGGGCTTGCCTGTTTTGAGCTCCACTGGCGCAGCGACGCAAGCAGGGGAAATAGCGTGCGAGCGATTTGGCCGTGACGCCGATTTAAACGCCATAGGACAAATGCGTCCTTGGAATCCGCTGCCTACAATTAATCTTGGGCTGGATTGGCGCGGAGCACTCGCAACGCGCCCAGCCATTGCTGTCGTCTTCAGCTGGCAGAACGCCATTGCAAACGGCTTAGAGACTCTAGATGCGTAAATCTCAGAAACTGGCGCAAAAACACCGCACAAAAAGATACTGCTGAATTGATGTCCAGTAATTTCTACGCGCCGTACATGTGTTGAACCTTGGTCCTGGCAGAATTGTTATGGTGCATGTTCCAATGTATGGTCTCAGCTTTAAGCCACAAATATATTTTCATTCGAAAATTTGACTTCCCTGTGCTCACAGAGAAGCAACAGTTGTTTTCGCGGTACCTTCCTCTCCTTTGGGCTTTGTAGCTGCTTATAACTCGCAAGTATCTTCCGTAATTACAAACATCAACTACTTCACGACTTACCCCTGCGGGATGTACGACACACGCCTTTCGTCCAAAGGCGCGTCGCACGGCTGTCACGGCTGGATGGGCTGCGAATTTGGAAGGGACCTAGAGACGTTACAAGGCAGGGCAGGCGGTATCACCCTATGTTTATGTGTCTGTATATGTGTGTGGATGTATGTTTCTATTACACATCGATCCGGGCTCGAAGCTGGCCAGGGGCACCTAACCGTACCCCGAGGGGAACGACCGTCAAAACCATGGCCCCCGGGAAGCTATCTTCGCGCACAAATTTATTTGAAGTAATTCCTTCGGTGAAAATGATAGAATGTAACAACTTTTGAATGCAATTCCCAGTTAAGCGTGGCATGCGAGCCATCTCATGACGACGCTGACTGACTGACTAACTGACTGACAGCAGTGAACCTCCGGGGCCTCGGCCGCCCGAAAGGCACGAAGCCGGGGCCGGGGGCGAGGCCGGGGGCCAAACACGTTAGGTGGGTGGTTTGGGTTGGTAAATGCGTTGTGAGGCTGGCAGGTGCGTTTGGGGGGTTTGGGTCATGTGTGTACCATATTTTGCATGGATAAAGCATCAAGCAATTGTGACTGGCTGGCCGCTGACAGCGGCGGCAGCAGAAGGGGCAGCAGAAGCAGCAGCAGTACAGCCGGCAGCAACAACACATTCAGAGTACGAAAGCACAGATCCGTGCTGTTGGCCGTCAGCCGCACCATTGCTGGCTTGCATGTTGTTATGGGGGGGGCATATGTCCTTTTCCTACTCTTCACTAACCGACCTGCGTGTGGCCGCTTGTTCTTTCCTGCTGTTGTTCTTTCTCCCACTCCCTCGACCCCTCACTCGGCCTTGGCTGGGTGAGTCGTGTTCCCCTCAGGCCCACCCAACACCAACAAGAAACGGGTAGTAGAGGACAACTTGCTTTGCATGGATCCGCTCACAGACGATAGTGATCAGTAATTCCACCCCTTGGGGTAATTTTTCAGACACAGCCTGGTAGGAAGGCGGTCCCGTGTGTATTTGGCCGCACTTCTTCACATCGAGGTAACACCAGTACGCCGGTATTCGTAGGCGTGAGTTTGTCATTCATAGGGGAGCCATATGGGCAAAATCCCTTGTTGGCATCAGTGCTAGCCCGGTCTTAGTCGTAGCCGAGCTTGCTGCGTTGTTGTGCATGCCGGTATCGGGCACTTGTTCTTCCATTCAAGGCTTTGTGTGTCTATTACAGCGACAGGCGAGTGCCGTCGGTTTGCATTACGGTATAGAAACTTGGTAGCCCGCTGTATTAACAACAACAGGAAAGTTTTCGCCCGGTGTATGCAAGTTTGGAGTGTTGTTCTGGTTCTTGGTTAATCGCGGTCGGTTCATCACGTCTTGGCGGTGCGGAGATCCCTGCAGCCGTAAGTGCACTAACAGTGTGCAAAGGTTTCCTGATTCGAGATTGAGTGATAACATGGGGTCTGCCATGTCCGCTCTGGTGAGGGCGTTTGTGTGTCCAAATCCCACGGAAATTGTTTTCCGAGGAGTGATGCTTGTGTATGCGTCCTTATGTAATGTAATGTTGTTACAGAGTGGGAGGGTTCTGGGCCACTTGCCACTTCTGGGCCACGTGTCCTTATGGGTAAGGAACGGGATGGCGGGGATCTGGCCCGCATGCTTGGAGCGTTAAAAAGCGCCACGGGGAACAACTGTCTAGTGTTGTGTCTTTCCGCGACTTGGTCATTCCGTCTTTGCAACAGAAGATAGGTTCACTCCTGTTTCTGAGCCATTGAACCCTAAAGGATCAATTTTGCATCCTTACGGACATGTAGAAGCGGTCGACAGGAAAATAACGATCCGACCAGGAGGTGACTCCCTCGATGGCTGCGAGTTTAGGATGCAGAAGTCATGTAATGCGCTGTACCGAACCGTCGCCGTAAAGTATTTTTGGCTGAGCTGCAACATGGCTACGAAGGCGGAAAGGAACTGAGTCATAGCATTGATCCACCAAATCTGAAGTCTGTGCGAAGTCCAGCAGCAACCATGCCATTCCCTTTTAATGTCCAAATGCCGACATGCAGTGTCACAAAGAGCACATGTACATCCCTTCCGTCCTCCATAATCTCCTCCCGCTCTGGATTCACACTTTCGTAGAGTTCAAACAGCCGCCAAAGGTTCACCGTTTCACATCATCGCTCGGACGCTTACCACGTCCCCATTCCCAAACACATACAGAACCATCCTGATAAGTCCAGAATTATGACCCAAAGACAATCGACGACTCAGACTTCAGAGCCCGCTGCATTGTATACATTGTTAATTCGATAACTCGACCCGTTGCACCCGCAAGAGGCCCCTGCGAAGTTTCCCATATCCTGCAAAAACACACCATCCATCACAAGACTCTCATTTTACTCACAGGTAATCTGCTACTGCTACCACAAGAACAGCTCTGCAGCAGTGGTGCGGCAGCAGCAGCAGCAGACGACGACGACAATCCCAGCCCAAACCTCCTTCCGTTGTAAGACCTAGCCAGCCGTCGTCGAGTCTGCATCTCGCCTCCTTAGCGAGACACACCGTACCTTCCCAGAGCCCTGCCCTGTACAGCGCCGCTTAGTCCCACCCATTTCAGGTCTGCGAACTGGTTGTAATCCCGGCCACGAAGGGGACAATTCTTGTACGAGTTGCAAACCGTCATCCACCGTGGGGCGCGCGAATAAGACCGTGCGCCAACCTTTCCGCATAAAGGGCTGAGCTCATCCCCTATCGCGCACCCGGCGGTGGCGGCGGTGGCCGCCGCTGCGCTGCCATGGGCGGTCCCATCGGCTGCCCCATTGGTGCTCCCATTGGCGTTCCCGCCGGAACACTCGGCGGTGGGCGCCGTATAACCGCGCCTGGCGGCGGCGGCGGCCCGCCGGCTGCCATTGGGGGCCCACCGGGCCCGACCGGCCGTGGTGGCGGAGGTGGCCCGCCGGCGCCCTGCGGTGACGGCGGAGCACCAACACCATGGGGCGGGGGCGGCGGCGGCCCACTGTGTGGTCCACGTGGTGGCACAACACCCGGCGGCGGGGCCCCTGCATGCGGCCCCGTCGGCTGTGGGGGATTTTGCGGCCGGATGAACCATGTGAAGCGTGAACACTCTGGAGCGTACTTGTCGTTGAATTTGCCGTTGAAGTAGTTGTACTGCTCGGGCGTGAGCATTTCCCGGATGCCCGCATACGCAAACACAAGGGCCTGCGGGCGGGTGGAGTGAGGAAATGGGGGAATGAAGGTGATAATTATTTACTTAATGGTCAGTTGGAGGGCAGTGGCCTTGCAGTGTGCGCAGTGGGATAAGGGGCCCCCACCATTGCAGCCTCCTCCTCCCCCCAATCCCAAGCGCTGCTGCTGCCGCCATCCCCACCCGCCTTCGCCTCATGTACCACACCCCACACCGCACCTGTAGCTTCACCCTGTCTTTCCGGTCCGCAGGCGCTGACATGTTTTGTCGCTCGAGAACCTGCTGCACCTGCACCCATACAAGCAAGCAAGCAAGGAAGCACGGATGTATAATGGATTCATTTGGACGTTTTGTTCTTGCGTGTGCGTGTGCGCGTTTATGTGCGCGATAGGGCAAAAGCCCCCCGAACGTGCCGGGGTCCCCAGTCCCATCCGAGCAACCACGAACACTCCTATCCCGTGCATCTCTGCGCCTCACATGGACAGCAGATGCCACGCACGCACCATGGTACCCTCCCTCAGGGTTCCCTCAGGGTTTCTCGCTGCGCATGAAAACGCGTCCTCCCTTCCTTCCTTTCCCCCTTCCCTCATCCACCCGCCGTCCCTCCCGCGCAACCCACCTGGAATATGGCGGTCTTGACGTCCTCAAGGCACGCCCGTGCCGCCTTGCGCTTCTCAATGATGGGCTCATCCTCCCGCAGCAGGTTCTCCAGCTGCATGGGAGTCAGGTGGTGGATGACAGTGAAGAGCCGCTCCAAAAGGTTCTTCTCGGACTTGCGAATCTGGAGGGAGCAGAAATGGCGTGGCGTGGCAGCGGCGGCCGGCAGTGCGGGAAAGACGTCCGCCATAGTGCGGAGATTGAGTCATATATTGGGAAGGGATGCGAAAACCAGGGCAGGGGGATGGCGGGTTGGGGTTTGGAAATGGGGAAGGCAGGGGCTGGGAGACAGAGGACGGATTGGGTAGCATGCGTGAGAATCCAAACCCACCTTCCCCTCGCTATCAGGGTCTCCTGCAGCCAACACACCATAGCACTCCACCCCCACCCCACCCCACCCCCAATCCCATCCCAACCATCCCAGCTGAAGATCCTACCCTCCTGCCAACCTACCATGCAGTGCACAATGGCCTTGGGCACTGTGATGGTGATGGTATCGCAAATACACGACATGTAGAGCTGCATGTCCGCAGAGAACTGGTCCAGCAGTGCATCGTAGCGGACCTCCCAGGGGGCACTAGCTGCGGCGGCCCGTGCCATGCGCTCCTTGAGCCGCAGCGGGTTGAGCAACATCTGGGGCGCGGGCAGCAGCCTGCCCTCCGAGTCGCGAACTGTGTCAGCCCTGGAATCACGTTGCCGGGCGGTTGGGTGGCATGGAAATTGGATTAGAGACAGCTGCAACAAAGGCGTTCCGACGACGTGGGAAAATGGAAATACAAAGTAGGGAAATACAAGGTGTGTGACTCAAAAATGAAGGGAAAAGAAAGTAAGGAACCGCCTAAAGAGGGACTGAGGGTGTGCGTATGTGCGTATGTGTAGGGTGCGCGGAAACGGGAAACGGGATGATGGCTGATATACGCGCACACCCACACCTCCTTCTCACACACCCTCTCATACGCGCGCACACACACATCTTTAGTCGCTAGGTACGCGACTCGACCCGTATTGAGCTTGTTGCAACTTTGCACGACATGCAATTTGAACGGTACAACCAGTCGCGCACACACAAAACAATATTAAAGGGAGCGAACGTACATGCACACGGATTCGTTCCAGCTGTTGGCCAAACTAACCTGTCTCTGTCGTAACTCTCTTCCCCCCTACCCCCCCCCCCCACGCACACATGCCTACCTGAATGCCGAGGAGCCCTCGCCCAGGTGTGTATCCAGCACGGGCTCCGCCTCCTTGGCCCAGCTGAGGTCGCCGTCGTCAAAAGTCGAGCCAAAGACGCCCATGCCGAAACCCCCAGGCGCTGCCGTGCTGCTGGGAACTGGGGCAGTCGCTGCCACGGGCCCAGCGCCAGGAGCACTGCAAAGTTAGGGAATGGGCGGGGAGGAGATGGGTCTCATGAAGGAAGAGGTACCGTGTGGGTTTGTGGTGGTTACAACAAGTCACGAAAGGTGAACCGGGCCGACGTGATCGGGTTAAGTGGTGGGGGCATGAGGGGCATGTTAAGAGTACAATCGACAGTTCGGGAAATACTATGCCGAGTCAAAGAAAAAAACTGCCGACGTAAAATATTCCAAACTACAAGCAATTGGGGGATAGAAGTGAGCATGTGTTGAGGACGTTAACAGTGGAAGCGCGAGAGCGTGGGGGAAGGATCCGGAAGGGAGTCTGACCTGCGCTTCCATCCAAAGATGTGCGCAGCACACGTACAGCGCCTACAGGCTCCATTCGTCAACTGTCGCACCATACATTAACAAACCAGAACGGTGTTTACTTATGACGTTCACTGGGAGGACTAAGTGCCTTCCTCTGGATGGTTTCTGATCCACGCTGAACCCATTTCGGATCCCAAACCCAAGGGATAGCAGAAAAAGGCTTTGTCCCCCTGCACAAACTCACCTAGTTCCGGGCCCGGCGACAGGGGCCCCCGGCGCCGCTGGACCAGCGCTCGGCTGGAGCGGCTGTTGCCCAGCCGGCGCTGCGCCAGGGGCGTTGGGCGGCCGCCGTGGTTCCGCGGCCTTCCGCAGCTTCACGAGCCATGTGAGCTTGGTGTCCATGCTCTCTGCGTGGAAGGAAAGCGCGACGGGCCAGGGTAACAAAAACCTTGCTACACCAATCAGGACTTCAAAACTGGAGGAAGTGTGTCCCCCAAAACCCGACATCCAACCCAACTGCTCCGCCGCTACGCCAGTGTGGTGCCATGTTTTGGGAAACGTCATTACAAGAGCTACTCGTTCTTTTTTGGTGACTGTGAAACGGGGAGTCCGCCCTCCCAGGGTAGACCATTGCATTTTATTGCTCTTGACTAGAGCTCCTGGTCAATCGAAACTCACTCGAAGCCAGAAACCCGGTCCTGGTTCAGTGAAGTCCCCAGCAATGCGGAACGGTGGGGTCTGGTCCGTGGCGCTGCTGCGCTCCATGGCTCTCTAATCGACTGATCGCAAATTATAAGTCGTTGGACAACATCGGACAACATCGGACGGGTGCGTCACAGGTGTGGGTACGGGCAGACATGTCGATCAACCGTGTGTCCCCACCATGACAATCAGGAGCGGCGCCCCCTGAGCATCCCTTGAACACGCCCAGGATCCCGAGGACCCGGGATGTGGCCTCGCACGTCCCCGGTCCACGGCTCCACGCCTCAACACATACCCGCTCGCAATATGATGCCGTTGTGGTCCTTGACCACCACGCCGCGGGGGTCCTTGTGTCGGATGCGGATCATGAGCTGCCCCTTGTCCTGCGTGTTAAGCGACACGGGTCCCGCATTGGGCGGCCGCGCGCTGCCCCTGTCGTCCAAGTCCTCCACGATGCACTCTGCGAGATAGGAAGATGGAAAGGGGAAGATGGGGGGAAAGAATAAGTGGGCGAAAACGGAAGAGAGACAAGATGGTTCGGAATGGAAGCCACCTTCGACGGTTGGAAACTCGGACACTGAAGAGAGGCCAAGGGTAACGAAGAAACCGCGGCCTCTTACTCTACGCGGGAAGGAGAGAAGGACTGGATGACTGCAGAACATGGAAAAATGCAGACCTGGACAAGTGGAGGGCAGAGTCGGGTAACCATACGCCCCCGACTCCCATGCAGACTCCCACATTGCCAGCATGCCAGGCGGCTATCACCCACCCGCAATGTTGACTTGGCCCTTCAGGCCGGCCGGCTTGGACACATCCTCGGGACTCCTGAAGTAGTAGAGGACGCGCTGGCTCTCCGAGAAGACAAAGAACCGCCGCTGCCACTTCATGGCCTCCAGGAAGCGGGCAGAGTCGTCGGACACGTACTTGTCAAAGTAGGAGGCGATGAAGTCCTCGGCATTGGACACGTTGAGGGAGCTCCCACCTGCGGGGTTTTCGGGACGGTGGTTAGGGTAGAGGGTAAGGCAAACAGCGGGCAGACGCCGCAAAAAGAGAAGACAGTGACGCAGTTTAATAAGCTTGATAGTTGGCCCTCATTAGACCCAGGCTAGAAGAACGATGTGGAGGTAGGTACGATAACAGTATCCGCCCGTGGGATTGGCATGTGGTGAAACCTACACAGCGATGCATCTTTCTTTTCTTCCCGTTTCATTTCCTAAGAACCTCATCCATCGTAAGCCGTGTGCCATATTATCGACATGAACAACCCGATCACGCACACTCACTAAACCGTAAGCCTGTTCACACCATAAAAACCACAATTTGACTACACCCACCATAACATCACTGCATAAACAAACTTCTACTTCCTACCCCTAAGGAATAACCCCTTACCGCTGCTATGCGGCTACAAGTTCCTCCTACCTGGACGACCAACCCCAACAGTACGCGAACGACCAAAAACAGTACTTAAAAAAAGATACATAAAGGCAAGCAATTACGCACAAACGGTCAAACCCAGCCACGCACCGTTGGCAGGGCGTGGAGGGGACTTGCCATCATCCGAGTCGTCGTCGGCAACCGAGGCGCCGTTGGCCGGTGGTGGCGTGCCAGAAGGTGGTGCGGGCGATGCTCCCGCCGCTGGGCCAAACGATGGGAAGAATTTGGCAGCCGTTTGCTTGGCAGACGCGGCGATGCCCTTGACGTCGCCTGTGCCCTTGGTCGCCATGGCGGCGCGCATCTGCTCCTGCTGCTTAATCTTCTGGTAGCGGTGGTGGGTGGTGTGGCGAAAGAATCCAGCAGTGATGTAAGAGCGCTCCATGTCCACCAACATGTGCGCCACTGCAGAAGAGGCAGACAGAGCCCGTAAATGACTGACGCGAAGCATAAATATGGTAGAAGAAACAAAGGTAACGCATAAGCAGGAGCAACAATGGTTGAATGTGGTTAACACACAGAAGGCGCATAGCTCACGCGCAGGAATTGGGGGCCATGGTGTTGTGAACGCGGCGAGTACTGGAAAGAAAATCGGGTCCCGGAAAGGCGCAAGCCTTTCTCTCAAAAGGAGCAACATTTATCCGCCAAAGACATGTTATCGCAACTCAGGGTGTAACACACACACACACAGAATTGCAAATACGTAGCAACGGTGGAAAGTGCCCCGGAAGGGAATTGAGCCTCCCATTTCATCGCAACATCAAGCAACCAAACTGATTTTATAAACAAAACAACTACGCAGCCCGGCCGGGCCTCAGCGTAAAAGCTGCCAAGCTGACTAGCCGCCCCACTGCCAGGCCCAGCCGACTGCCCCACCTGCCCGCCCGCCGTCACCCTTCCCACCGACTCCTCACAGCCCCGTTCTCACTCACTCACTCTTCTCACTGTCCTTCTTCCACTCATCCAATGCTGAGACAATGGCTGGCATGACCACGTTCTTGAAGTCTGGCACGTACATGGGCATCGCGCCCATGAGGGCCGCCTCCGTAAACTGCCCCGCTTTCTCCGCGGCCTCTCTGCAAGGGCAAGGTCGTCAAGGTAGTGCGTTGCTAGTTGAGTGCGTTGAGGGGCCACACACAGCCGCACCGGGGTGTGTTGCAAGGAAGCGTCACAAAAACGCCGTTGAATACTAGGCAAATGCATTGCCAGCACTGACGTGTAGATACGTAAGCGGCACAAGCCAGCTAGGCAACTTGCAAGCAGGAGGGTGAACTAAGCGCTTCCCAGACCGCGGAATGACTTGCGGTTACTGCTTGCTCCCCTATCTTCTCTGTGAAAGCCTCCTAACATCCTTCCAGCACATTCGGAGAGATGCTGGGACCGAGGGACTATAAACCCTTGAATCAAGTTAATAAGACCCCACAACCTCGCACCTCAGTAGCCCTTCCCCCGACTACCAAACCCATGCTTGCACATCATTTGCTGATGCCTGCACTCCCGCATGTATTCTCCCTCCCCGCCTACCGTGCGGCGTTGAGGCACAGGTTGTAAACCTCCTGCACGCACACATTGACCGGTTCAGTGAGCGTTTCCAGGGCCTGGTTGGAAAGCTCCCGTAGCCCATTCTCCGGCGCTATCAGGCTGGGATAGTAACCATCAGCTTGGCGACAAACCTGGGTGGAGCAGGAGCACGTACAAGGGAGACACGGGCGGGAGGAATGAAAATGGGGAAAGGACAGACATGGGTGGGCGCTTATCATACAAGGGAAGGCCTTGGTTACAGCCTTTGGGCCGTGGTATGCGGGGGTCCTGTGTACGACGGGCGGTAGTTGTGAATAAGATACATTTGTGGTTAAGGACACGCGCTACGCAAAGGCAGCGCCACCCCATAGTTTTATTGTAATACGCGACGCGCTGCAGCGCAAAGCCATGTCGGCGCAACGCCACCGAGTGCTTGTAAACGCCAGCAAACAGATGGATCGCGGAGGTGCAGAGTTCGGCACGGCATTGGAATGGCCGGTGGTAGTTTGCGAATGGTGTAGGCAGAGGGATAAGAAATAGATCATGAAGACTGCAGTACGGCGGGAATAATCCTGGCATGAATCGCACCAACACATGAGGAGCAACCCCGGTACCCCGAGATGCATCACGTGGCATACAAAGCAATACCAAGGCTCTTAGCCCGACAGAGTGGGCGCGCGCCCCCGAGCCCAGCGCACTCACCGATTTGACGTTCTTCAACTCGAAGACCTTGTCCATAGGCAGCTTCTTTATCTTGCCAGCCAGCCCCGATTCATTCAAGAAAGCCTCCTTAATCTTACTGGCGACGGGAGACTCCTGCGAGTGAGGTGACGAAGGCCAGGCATATACAGCGGGTCGAAGGTTAAGAAACCTGTAAGGACAGGTTGAAGGGCTTCTGTAAGCCGTAAAACCCACGCCTCAGGGGCCCCTGCTGGCCGACCCAGTTCCCAATCCACTGCCCTTCGGCCGCTCTTCGCTTGACCCACCGGCCCCCCTCCGCTCAACCCAGCCGGCGTACATTGATGAAATTCGTATAGGCGCGTTCAAAGCCTCTGCACAGCTCAAACACCTCCTTGATTCCGGCTGGCGCTTCTCCATACTGCAATACGACTTTCTCAAGCGCTACACGCTTTTCCTGAAGCCGGTATAGAACCTGTCAGGACAACAGCAAGATGCGAAAAAGTTAGCTCGTCGCAAAGAGGGAAAGTGCAAACATCCAGCAAGACCAAAATAACGTGCATGGCAGCATGTATTAATGAAAATAGCATTTCTATGGGAGCCCAAGCAAACGGCCGGGTAGGTGCGATCAGCTTCATCTAGCGTGCATGAACGAACTCCCACCTGTTCCAAGCCAGCAGTAGGCGCATCGATAGTTTGTGTTGCGATCGCCGCCATAGCACCGCGCTGGCTGAAGGCAATAAAGGACTGTAGTTAAACCGTCATGAGTTCGTTTGAGTTCGAGCAGCTCAACCCGACGACCAAGTATTTTGAGCAGTTCTGAGGATGCAGGTGCTGTGCGCATGTCTGGCAACCGGCGGGACCGTAAGTCGAACGGCTTCATCCACGGCAGTTTTTGCCGTAATCCAACCTCTCGCTACCCTCCTATAAATTCCAACTCTGCGAAGAGAAGTTAGAATACTACTCTTTGTGTAAGGTTTATCTAGACATACTCTTACGAATCTTGCGGTCGGTGTGTTGAGCAGGAGCTGCTCCTGCTCAACACCCTGCTGCAGGGGATCATGTCAAGTCGAACTGGGATCTAGCAGCCCAGTTCTGGTAAATCCTTTCCAGCCTATTGATACCTTTGAGACTTGATCATGGATTGGTTTACATTTGAGTCCTCGGGCACATAGCGAACACTGCCGTCTCAGGGTCTTCACGAGGCTTCAGCAGCTGCACTTTTTCCTTCTGATTCCTCTGGAAGTTGAACATGTTACGAAATTTGCTCTGGCTGCGAAAATTGAAAGATGCCGAAGCACCCGCGTTTGCCGACACTGATACAAGGCTTTACCGGCGGCGGTGAAGACTTCGCTACATTATACATGTGTGATCGACCGTCGTCATCTTTGCATTCAACGTCCGATCGAGACTGACCATCGCAAGGATATACGGGGTGAGGCGGCTGGCGGCTTCTCAATGCTCTGCTTTACATCTATATCCTGCAGGTGTCCACGGTACCAGGTTCTTAGCTATGGAATGAGCACTCGCCGCAGCCGCGAGTTATTTGATGGTGGAGGGCTTTCGGGTAAGAAGTCGCGACGTTGTGTGACTTGTTGCCAGCCAGTTAAGTTGTGATCATGCGATGAATCCCTTAGCGCTGCATAAGGGGCGTGGGTTGCTCTACACATCCCTCGCCTGTTTATACAGCGCAAAAAGAAGTAGACCATCATCAGGGCGGCGTTGAGGTCCCTCTGGATCCATGAGTTGTTGCCTTAAACCTGGTCCCACAGCACTTCGCAGAAACAAGACATAAGAGGGGAATAGGGAATGTTTCTGTGCGCATGGTGGGCAGCACCTGTGCATGTGGCAGTATGGGTTTGTGGTTTTGGAAGAAACGAAGATCGTACGAGGCACCTGAATAAAGGCTCCAGAGCGAACCCTTACCCGCACTTGCGCCCGACCTTGGGTGCGACAGCAACATTTAGCGCACATTTGTGGCCTAATCAGGGTGCGGTGGCCATTGTGCATCGATTCCCTTCGGCGGCCAGACAAATCATGCGTTTCTTGCTGAGCTGTACTTTTAGGTTTGCCTACAGGTTGGCTGTATCGATAGACGTTGCCCCATGCATCGCCTTGTTATCTGCGGAGCGGAGGGGTTTTGGTGGGCTTACGGCATCGGCATTATGGGCCTGGCCCTCCACATTTGTACGTTCCGTATTTGGCATTCTGTTTGACTGCTAATGTGGCAAAGCCAATCCGCTGACTGTGTTGCCTAACTGTGTTAGTGCAGAGATGGCCAAGTTCATTAATCTTCAAGATGGTCGCGTCGTGTTATGCAACTGGAGGCGGGAGCGTCGGTCCAGCGATTGCATAGCGCTATTGTACAGCTCGCTTGGCCGAACTCCCGATAGTCTGGGGGGCGGTGTATGTAGATCTCCACGTTAGCTGGATTGGGCGGCTTGGGTGTTTTCAGCGCTTGTGATGTGAGGCTGTGGCAGGTTAGCTGGATTGATCCAACTGTTTCAGACGATTATGTGCATGATATGTTGTAATGTGCGTGGCATATGAATTTGTCGTTTGAGTGAGACCCGATAGCGGTCGCATCCGTGGTGTATGGACAGACTGTCGGAAGACGGCCAAGTCCAAGAAGTCCTCGAGGACTCACTCCCTAGGATGTAACGAGCATTCAGCCAAATCAAGTACAGCTACGAAAGTGTTCAAATCAAGCAGCTCGCAGGCATCTACAGTCGTAATGCACGTACAGCCTCTACCTGCACGCATGTCGTACGAAAACAGTTGCGCATCGCACAGCATATGGATGGAGCCCTTCCGATAAACGCTCCACAAAGAAAAAAACAAATTTTCAGGACTACAAGTCTATGAGAGGGGAATAGGCAGAGCAGACAATGTGCAGAAACATGAAAGCATTACGAAGGACCTAGTTGCTGCTGGCAGCAAAGTGAAGCAGTAATTCTAGGACGAATCCGTGTATTCCGCAAAACGAGCACACAGGTGCGCCCCAGCTGCAGCAGCAAGCGTTCGGAGTAATCGGCAAAATCTCTCAAGGCAGAATAACGGGGCACCCGCCTCAACCGCTTGCAGGGGCCCCGCCGGGGCCCCGCATGTGCAACCGATTCCGGTGGGCTTTCGAGCATCCCTCCCGGGTATCTTAACGGACCGACCTGTGTAAACAGCATATTATTGCTGTTAGCCATGAGATTTACATTCTTCTCCAGACTTCTCCCCTTTCATTTCGTTGACTTGCCTGGATGAGTCTGGGAACGCATTCCTGCGTTCAGGTCTTCCGAATTTAGACCAGTGCCGGAGCTCTCAAGGTTTGTGTTCTTGTAACCACCAATGCAGGAGTAAACGCACACAGACCCGCACGCTGCGGGCTCCTATTCTTGAAGTTCTCGGAACCAGCGTCACGTGCGCACACCCAGTGGCAAACAGACCATGCGCCAAAGAGCTCATCGTTCATAACGGGCGAGCGCGGTCTTCGCGGATAGGCCAATTGTCAGCGTTTTTGACAAATCTTTACCGACAGCGCAACTATGCACATAACGCTGTTAAAACTAGACGATATCTTCTTCATGCGGTTTGTCCTTATGCCGCTCTGTTCACATTTCTGGTGCCGTCCGGGAGTAGGGACAGCCGGAAGGAATTTCCAAACATAAGCTTTGCACGTGGCACGTTTTCTGGTCAAAATGGTAGCTCTTTCGTTGGGAGGGATGCCTAGCCAACCACCCACGTTACCGCTAGGGAAGTCTGCCGGAAGCTGCAAGCACTCTCATTTTCCTTTTTTCCCTCTTCCTTTTTCCATTACCAGCAACATGAAGTACCGTGATCATCGTTATGCTTCGCATATTCCCGGCTGGGCCGTGGGAGTCGGTTGTCATGTGCGGGGGCCTTATGCCCAACAGGGGCGCCATTATGGTCGACCTACGTAACGCGACACACTGCAGATTGCGCAAACATAACACCCCTTTAAGCAATTGTGAATAGAAGTAATAATTTCGCTACGAGTCCTCCAACCGCTTTCGCGAGGCCCTCATGGCGTGGCCTGTCCGACGCTACTTCCGCTTGGTAGGGGTAACATAATTCGTTCAACATGCAGTAAAAAAACGCTGTAGCCTTAGGATTAGACGACTCATTTCTCCCTGCACGAACCCTCCCTTTCGCAGTTATGGTGCACGTTATGTTCGCTAACGTTTATAGCGCTGCCGGTCCTGGTTTGGCAATTTCAGAAACAACATTACAACGTCCATCGCCAAGGTATTGGAGAACTTATGACGTAACGACAGTTGCAACTGTGCTCCGCGCCCGCGCAAGCCAAACCCATTGTGCTTTCCTCGTTCCCCCATTTGCCCGTTTCCCTCTGCCACGACGCGGCAATCCGCATATGCTGGTTTGCTGGCCGCCCGCAGCCTGGTTCATCGGTGGCATCTTCGCCATCCTCTCCATACCCATTTCTATTTACGAAGTGAGCGGCCGATCCTAAGCGTTGTCTGCAGCCTTGGAAGGGTCCGTTATCTCCCCGCGATCATCCCCTCCGCCTGCTATCGCTATTGCTATTGCTATCGCTATTAGTTGCTGCTGCTATTGTTGCTGCTACTAGTGGGGTGGCGGCAATATTAATGCTCCCACGGGGAGCGTCAGCGCCTAGCGCTGTGCCATACTGCGCTGTGCTGTATCCTGTGCCATGCGGGGCATGAGGTTGGGGATAAGGAAAAGAACGTCCGAGCTCTGCTTGTTGGTATGGGGAGAAGATAGTAGGGAAGATCTGTGTTTATCCGAAATCGCGTACAGGGGCCGCGGCAAAACACGTTCACGATCCCTTCTTCTTTTTCTGTTATAGCACGTCATGTAATATGGCCTACATGGGATGTGAACATAAGACCTTCTAGTTATGGATCAAATAAAACACTCAATAATATTACAAGAACTTACGCGAATTGCACTAAATTCACAACTTTGAACTTACATTTTTTTAATACCCCTTTGATTTTCTGTTGAGTATCCCCTCACTTTGCCTTAAATTTTGTATCATGACGTATATCACCGATGTACGGCAAATCGGCCCGTGGACAGATCGCGTTGCACATCGAGTATTACACTCGGCCTCACCTACAGAAGCATGTGATTCGGATCCTGCTTATGGTGCCGATCTACGCGGTGGATGCCTGGCTAGCACTGAAATTCAAAAAGGCAGGAGGGAGGGGGGAATGGGAGATAAAGGCGGAGGGAGTGAAGTAAGCAGGGCGAGCAGATGTGAAGGCAGATGGTGGAGGCAGGAGGGAGGGGGTGGGAGAAGGTGATAAGGAAAGGGATCTAATGATTGAGGGAGTGAGCGAGGAGGGAGGGGAGGTGTCATGAGATCTGATCCCGCTTACTGGGCCAGCCGCGGCAGCCCCGCGGCAGCCGCATAGACGTCAACGAGCCTTTCAATCACTTGTCACGATCGCCATACACTCGCATCCTCCAACACCCCTCTTCTCCCCTGTCCTTCCCCCTGCCCTTCCCCCTGCCCTTCCCCCTGCAGGCCCGGGAATACCTGGACCCCGTCAGGGAGTGCTACGAGGCCTTCGTGGTGTACTCCTTTCTAGCGTATCTCATGGCATTCCTGCAGGCAAGTCGTACAATGCTGTACTGCCGTATTGTGATGTACTGCCGTAGTGTGATGTACTGCCGTACTGGGAATGCCAGATAGGAGAGGGACGATTCACCTAGGCGGTACCGTACCCCCCTCAGTGCACCGGGAACCCCACCGAAGGGGTGCTCTGTGTGTGTATGTATCTCTGTGTATGCGTGTGTATGTATGTGTGTGCGTGTGTGTGTGTGTGTGCGTTACTTGGATGCTTGTGTTCTGAGCCTGCTGTCCAAACCCCGGGGATCGGAACCCCAGTGTCCATTCGTGCATTCGTGCTTAGGGAGCCCGGCGGTCTGCGGCCGGCAGCCCGGCCTCAACTACCTTAACTGCCCCAACTGCCTCAACTGCCTCATCGCCTCTCTGGGTCATATTCTGCATTCCTCATCTTCGCCACTCAGCACAAATCACCGCGCACCAGAACTGCATACACGCACTCTTCGGCAGGAAGGTATTATAAAAATACCTTGATGGATATGCCGTACGCGTCGTACTTGTTGTTGTAGGACACATACAAAGACTTGGACGCGCATATGCGTAGCAAACCTCAGGTCCGGCACCTGCTCGTGGCTCGGTGGCTGCTGCGCCCCTGGGATATGGGTACCCGATACCTGTGGGAGTGCAAGAAGGTGTGTGTGCGTGTGTGCCGTACACGGGGTGTGTGTTTCAGCCTGATGCACACGGGCGGCATTCCGGGGGGGGCGAATGAACGAATGGGGAGTGCAAAAGTCGAATGAATGAATGAGGAAGGGGAGGCAAAAGTCAAGGGGAAAAGTTCAATACACGTTATGTTGGGAGGATGCGAGAATGGCTATACCTACCCACCGGTCGGGCGGCCTGGAGATAACGGTACTGGGAAAACGAGTGCGAAAGATAGCGCTCGTCCATACTTTCCGTACAAAGTTACCAAATACCAACTGTCAACCGTGCAGGGCGTCCTGAACTTCGTCATCTTGCGCCCCGTGTGTACGGCGCTCGCATTTTTTACCGACATTTTTGACCAGTACGGCAGGGGCCAGATCAATTTCAGAAAGAGCTACGTCTACCTGGCCGCCGTGACTAACTTTTCGCAGGCGAGTGTACGGCAGGGGGATGTACGGCGTAGGGGTTAATGGCGGGGTGCCATGCCATCATGAGCCCATGACACATGACCTGGAGTTCGTGGGTGCCGAGCTCTAGGTGAAAGTTCGCCCATAAGATAAGATTTGTTTGTCAGTGAACGTATCGGCTTTCGGCTTTCGGTGGCGGGTGGGGCGGCGAGGTGGTTAGGACACGGTTTTCGCCTCGGCCCTTGGTGCCCTGCCCTGCCCTGCCCATACCTCCATCCTCCCTTCGCACCCCCCTGCCAAAGGGTGCGGGCAGATTTTGGGTTGGCCGCTAACTGCCAACCTTCCAACTAACCAACCGCTAACCAACCAACCGCAGATGTGGGCGCTGTACTGCTTGGTGATGTTGTACACGGCCATGCACTCCGAGCTGGCGCCCATTCGTCCGCTGTCCAAGTTTTTGTGCATCAAGGCTGTGATTTTCGTGACCTTTTGGCAGGTACGATATTGGATTGTACGACTCTGCTCCAGGCTTCCTTTTTTGGGGAAGAGGGCTGATATGGTTGGCGGTTGACGACTCTAACAGAATTGAACTACGTAGCAACCGACTTAGTTGGGTCCCAAAGTGTCCCATGGGGCTCATCGGGGACCCCGCAAGGGCCTTTGCGCCCATGTTCTGTCGTACATTGCAGAGCATCGCAATCGCCATCCTGGTGTACGCTGGCGTTATACGGCAAGAGTCCTGGTACGACACTCGCAACGTGGCGGCTGGCTTGCAGGTGGGTCACGGCACCTTACGGTACGATGTCCGTGTGTTCCGTGTGATTCGTGTGGCTACGGGTTTGGGTCACCACACCTTTTTTTCTTTTTTTCTCCCCGCCCTCTCTCCCCCCGCCCTTCTCCCCCTTCTCTCTTCCTCGCCTAGCCCCCACCTAGCCCGCCGCACTTACCCGGGGGAGGATGGGTACCTGCCCGCAGGACTTCCTGATTTGCATTGAGATGTTCCTGGCAGCGTTAGCACACGCGTACGCCTTCCCGCCACGGGTGAGAGTTACCCGTTGGGGCTGGGGCTGGGGAGAGGGAGAGGGAGAGGGAGAGGGGGAGGAAAGGCAGTCGAACCCGTCCCCCCGTCCTCCTGAGGGGTGGGGTGGAGTCTGCAGGTTGGCAGCTGGGGTGGCGGTATGGGGCGGGGTTGTGGGTTTGCTGTGGGTACGGCACATGTGTATCACACGTGGGTGGGTGTGGGGGTTGCTCCCGGAAGTTGTCCAGCGCCTTAGCCCTTAGCGATAATCTGCGGTGTGTGTGTGTGTGTGTATGTGACGTTTTTTACCCACTCCTGAACTTTAAGAGACGTGTTTGCAGATGCAGATTCAAAGCCTGACTGGTCCCAATGGAAAAAAAGCCCCATGTCGATGAGATTTTTTCCCTTGACGGTTGGCGGTTTATGGTTGACAGTTGGCGGTTAACGATGTTACTGTAACCCCCCTATTCCCCCCCTATCGCTGCACTCTCCCCCCCCCTGCAGGACTACATGGACGGGGGACACTCTGCGGGATTTCGCGCCAACGTGCTTCAGGTGTTCAACTGGTGGGACGTGGCGCACGACGTGAAGCGGGTGCGTGTGAGAGTGTGTGTGTGTGTGTGTGTGTGTGTGTGTGTGTGATGTCTATTAACGAACTACGCCGACTTCATAAATAGGCGGATTAGGCGGGAAGTGCGGCGTATGTGAGTACGTATGCATGTATGTATGTATGTATCTGCGCGGGTCTGTGGCAGCCGCCGGGGGCATCCCGTACAAATACATATCTCGGGTGCAGGTGCTGGTGTGGAGGGAGCAAGGGGGAGCAAGGGGTACACTCTCTTTACCGCATCCACAAGGCGCACATGGTCTAGCAATCCCTCTCCTTAACCGTTACACACCGCCTCCATCTCACCACATGCTTTCCATGCGTTGCCTCCGAAACCCCCCTTGCAAGCGGATGACGTCTCACCGTCGGGTTCGCGCCGGGTCTCTCGTCAACCCCCAATTTGTTTCGCCCCCGACCCCTTTAGGTCATGGAGGAGCACGTGAGTACGGCAACTACGGCAGTGGTGGAGGCGCCGCGCCGGGCCGTTAAGAAGGCGGCCCGAGGACTCGCAAGAAACACCTGGAAGCTGTTTACGGCTG